ATTAGCATCAAACACGATTTGACCTATGGTCTATAGCTCTCAATGTCCTCTTTCCGATTGGGTGGTTACATTTTGCCTGACGGAGAAGTCATCAAATGGGCGGCACGTTTATCGGGTAAACCTGAGGGCGAGATTAGTTTTGAGTATGCCATTGCGGAAATCCAGAGACATCTCACCAAACGCGGCGTTCGCGTGTCAATGGTGGAATATCCGACCGACGTCGATGCGTTCATGGTTGTCACTAGACGCGCACCACACTACGGCTGGAGAAGTGGGGATGACCCTAGCAGACTGAAGCAGTATCAGCTGACTAAAGTGGAGGAGTATGCGAAACAAGCATTGACTGGTGAAGGTGCGTCTCGTGTCACGATCACTCTGGTGTCTTTCCTATCTCTAACACAATGCCCTCATCACCAGGTGTTAAGGACTTCCAGTTTGTTACTGCCCATGGCTACCTGTGATCTTATCTATCCGTTGTCCTTTTTTAGTGTACTGTTATTCTACTGTTCCGACTGTTCTATCACCACATGTGGCCCCCATACAAAAGTGACGTAACGGAGGACGACTTGATGCATTGATGACTGTTGCGGTTGGAAATGAGGTCGCGGAAAATCAGACACTCAACAGCTTGATAGTCACAAGTGCTGCAACCGGAGCAGAGCACAACTCGTTCGAACTATAGAACTATAGGATGCATTTGTACCAAAATAGTGAAATGAAGCCTACGCAATATGTACCCAAGAAATTAAATTAGGATATGTAAGAATGTCCGGGAATCATAGGACCCAAAGAGGCAGGCACCATATCTAAAGTATATTGTCCAGTCCATTGATGCCGCCGCCCTTCTACCAGAGATGAAGGCGCCAATCACAGCTTAGGAGTGTGGGCACGCACAGGGGTATACCGTGCCTGCGAGGAGAAGAAAGGCTCGTGAGCAGAAGTATGGCTTCGGTAGCAGGGTCCAAACGCACCATTTCACATTCCTTTTTCTCGTACCCACACTTCTGGTAGAAGGCTATGGAAAAGTAACGCCATGAGTACACCAACGAACGCGGACCCGAAAGAAAAGCCGACGTACGGATATTCTTCTCACTGCAGTTCAAAATCGTCTTATACGCGCCGCTGTTCTCGCTAATATACGTCAGCGCCTGTATTATCCTCAGCCCGAGCTTCTTCCCCTGCTGGTTCTCATCCACAGCGATGTCCTCAATATGCCCGACGCAGCTGATCCCGCGCTGGAACTTGCGCTCGAGAAACACGGTGCCGACGCCAACGATCCGGTCTGAGCGTTTGTCCACGATGACGAGGGTGTAGTACGTGCGGCCTGCGGCGCGTAAGTTGTCGAAGAGTACGAGCCACGCAGCTTCGCCTGGGTCTGGGGCGGTAGTGAGGACGGAGAGCACCTTGAGGTGACCACGGCGGTAGTCGGTGGATGCCAACGGGCGAATCTGCGAGCTGTCAGGATTCGTTCACATATGATGAGGAAAGAAGGTGGGCGTACGTGGACATCGGGATGTAAGGCACTTCTAACCTCGTGTGATATGAGGTCGGGGGAGAAGAGGAGGTCGAGGGCGTTGTCGGGCGTGAAGGACGTGGAATTGGTGGTTGCAGCCATGAGGGTTAACGATGGTCTTGCAGAAGCGATAGTCGAGGGTGTAGTAGGATGTAGCCGCGTAAAGGCGTAGTTGCTCAAGGTCGATAAGGTGGAGAGAAAGTGTAACTTAGTTGGAGTTGGACGAGGTCAAAAGAGGAGTGAGAAAATGGGTGAAAGGTGGCGGAGTGATCAACACTTTTGAATCAATTGCGGCGGTGTTGCAGGCTTCACAGCCACTCGTCACCTCAGGTTCACCACGGACGCTCTCGGGCAGCGTTTCATGGTTTGTGGGGGACAGCGATGCTCTGTTCATGATATCACCGCTTTTATATTCCCCTGCCGTCCCGAGAACGCGGTGCCATGTGAGCACACCTCGCCGCATGCTCCGTAATAGCCGCTTCAGGGAATCCCGTGCACTTGACCAGCATGCATCGCTTTATCGGAGCTCTGATGATGATGATGAAGTCAATTTTTAACCGCCGGCAAGCTACACTACACACACCGGAAAGTTGGGAATTTAGTCTCAGCGCAAATGTATACCTGAAGGAATAGTTTGTGTCCAAATTTTGTAATGCTCAAAACTATCACTTTGGGTTCGCCTCAAATTTTGAACCAGCCAATCGGATCGCTTCCGTTCATAGTTTGAGGACAACGTGAATTGATAGTTTCGGTCATTACAAAACTTGGATACAAACTCGTAATTTGGGTACAGATTTGAGTTGACCCTAAATTCCCAACTTCCCGGTGTGACAGAGCTAAGAAGCGGGGATAGCTAAGTATCCGTAAAATAAAGTAAAGTAAATAATTGGTCTTTTGTAAGTACGCGGTGGGATTAGAATTCTCTTCCTGTACGGCAGATCGTTCGTCGTGGTGCGGCGGGTTGGTGCGAGAATGGAGTGGGAGTAAGGTGCATATTGAGTCCATAAGAATTAGGCATGGCATAGATGAGAAATAGAAAAGAAAATGAAAAGGAACTGTCCCAGTATGAAACTCGCTGGCGCGCTGACGCCTCTTGTGGGCGGGCGCGTGTGTGGGTGGGTCCGCTCGGCGGGTGTCGGAGCTCTGATGAGTCCATCACAAAGAAAGCAGGCGTGTGTAAAACTACAAGAAAGCTGCTTGGATAGCGACGCCGGAGAGCCTGCCAGTGATGAAGCTATTGAGTCGCTGAACGAGGGGTCAACGCTTATACAGTCCGCACGTACAACCACCTTCTTGACTTGAACTGACAGACCTTGAGCTACCTTGAGCTCATCCATCTGATATCAGCCGATAGCCATGAGTGAGTTTCCAGTCCGCCTCATCTCCCAGCATGTTCGGCAAGAGGTCAAGACCGCATTGTTCGCGGAACTCCCTGTCTAGAGTTCAGCATATCATGAGAAGGGCTAATCAGAGTCGAGCATTATGACTTTATTTCCAGGGACTCACCCATGCCACAGCTGCTTTGACACGATATCACGAACGTGTTTCGACGCCTCATTCCGTGGATCGCGCTCTAAGAGTATTTATATCAAGTTCTGCTGTATGCCCCCCATCGATTTTCTACAGTGGACTCCAGCGGACCCTCACGACGATCATGCAAGACACTGGTAACACCGTGCAGTGCGCGTAAGGGCCTATCTAATGCCTCCGTAATTCTATCACGCTAAGGGACTGACGACGTCTTGGATTGGACAGAGGACTGTATTCTAGAAAGGTCCACTTCCCTCCCATGTATCGCGACATCAGCAAAATTTTGCACCGCACGTCAAGCACGTATCTAGCAAAAAGATGGGCGGACTGTCCATTGCTCTAGTCGCGACGACCCGCTTCCACCTCGGCCTTGAACCACTAACGAGTTCGACATTGAGGATAAGGACCACTTTAATAACGAGAGCAACTAACCTCCATAGTTTTCTGAATCCCCTCGCGCACTCCGACCTCAGGCTCGTAACCAAGCACCTTTTTCGCTTTGGCGCTGTCGAAATACATAGTCGCCGTTGCAAATGTGACAGTGTACGGCGTAAGCGTTTGTTCTTTGCTGCCTTTGAGCCATCCCACGAATTTCATGATATAGGCCAGCAGCATAGCAAAGGCGCGAGGAATAACGACCGGCCTCTTCTGAGTCTTTGGATGATCAGGAAATATGGCATCAAACCCAGCCCAAAGCGCGCGCATGAAGTCCCAGAAGGGCCAGGGGTCGTTGTTGCTGATGAAGAAAACCTGTCCAGCCACTTCGTCCGAGACATGGAGTTTGTCGGCGGCGAGAGCGATGGCGAGGGTGATATTGCTAACGTAGGTCTTGTCGAAAAGGTTTTTGTTGTTACCGAGTTGAACATTGGTCATGCCTCGTTTCCAGGACTCGTAAGCGCCGACGAGGGTTTCGGGATCTCCTGGCCTAGAGACAGAAATCAAGATACACAGAGTAGATGAAGCATCGAACGGAGCCCACCCGAACACGCCGCAAGGCCTAATGCACACCGTCTTCAGTCCTCCTTGGCCATTGGCATCAAGAACAAGCTTTTCGGCCGTGGCTCTCGACTCCGTATATGGATCCAGATGTTTCTTTGGATATGGTAAGTGTTCGTCACCATTGACGATGTCGCTGCCATCGAAAACAACGCCAGAAGAACTGTAGTAGATGAGTTTGAGGACCCCGGCTGCTTTCGCAGCCTCGATTACATTTTTCGTGCCTTCAACGTTGACTTGATCGAAGATTTGGAGGTTGTCACGGTTTCGGATGGACAGAGGCGAGATTGTGTGTATTACACAAGTCGCTCCGCTCTGTGCAAGTCATTCGATGAAAGTTCTTGTATTCATTGAGAGAACTGCGCGTACCTGCTGGATGGCGCTCGAAATCTGCTCAGGGACGGTAATCTCACCAGAGTAGAATGGCACGTCAACGTATTTCTGGCAAGTGTCGAATACGGAGACCGTATCTCCGCGTGCTTTCAGGCGCTCAACGACATGCCTGCCGACGAAGACATCCCCACCGAGGACAAGGTATACATCCTTCGAGGTCGTCATGTGGTTGGATTGACAAGATGGACCAAGAGAAGTGTAGACTGGGAATTGAAAGACTCAGAAGCGCTGAAAGGCCGCAGCATCATGCCAGCGTGATATCACAGAACAGACGCCCAACGCCGTAGAACGCCGTGCACACTGTGCGGCTTGTTTGGTTTTGGTGGGAGAATGGATACTGTCAGGGGCGTGCCGCAACCCCGCCCAAGTGGTGTCAAGGGCCGTTTGTTGAGGTACGGCGAGTCGCATCTCGTGTATGCCGTTCTGCAGCTATGTACAGGGCTTCCGCAACGCTGGTATCTTACCCCCCGGGAGCCTGTAACTGGAGCACTGCCCTGCACTGCCTGTCAGAATGTTTATGCTGAACCGTATATATAAAAAAGAATTGTTAGACACCTGGCCACGGGCATGCATTAAGAGAGAATCGAACTCCCGGCGGGTCGATATGCTCGACAAGCTAACATACCCTGAGTATGGCAACGACCCAGGTTACCACTACCCCATTAATGCTTCCTGGATGTTTCATCAAGGATGTACACCTCGCTCGTTGTTGCCATATCCTTTCTTTTCCTTTAAAGCAGCGCTGCGACAAAGCTGCTTCTGAATTAATCATACACCACGAGCAACAGGCATGCAGCAACCGAATCACACACCACAATGATATGCTGGTAGCTTAATGATCAAAGAGCTGATGATGAATACGATGATACATTTACAATACTGAGTACGGAAACAAACAGTGAACAAAGCGCCAGCGTCCTTGCATGTACAGTGCACTAGGTATGGGTGGTGACATTGATGGCGTGGGGAGTGGGTGGTCTGAGATCGTGCTGGTATCATGGATGAAGATGGATGGGACAACGACGACGGGGGATATCGGGAAGTAACGGCAGAGACGAGGCTACCGTGTAGATGGTACAGGGTTGACTGAAACAGCCTCCGAGAGTGGGGAGGGCGCTACGGAGTGTGAAGCGTGCAATGTGGACGGGGTATTGGGATGGCGATAACGGGAAGGCGGGAAGCCTGTTCAAAGGCCTTGTATCTGCACGATAAGGAACTGCTTTTCATCGCTGAATTGCTCATCTTGAAAACAATCATAAGTGTTCATCGGTTACGTGAATGGCATACGGCCACATACCGTCCTTATCGTTGTGGAAGCTCTTGAGGAAGACGAGCAATTTCTCCTTGTTCCTGCGGAGAATGGACTCTATCTGCGGAGGCTTCTTCGGGTTCGCGACGAAGACCTTGAACACATGGAACGCCTCGAACTGGATGTTCTTGCTCTTCTCGCGCAGGAGATTCATCATCATCTTGAGGTTGGCCTCGCTGGCGATGTACCGCGTCATGACATTGAAGTTTGCCCGGTCGAGCAGGATCTCGCCGAGGAGTTTCAGCGATTGCCGCTTCGTGACGTAGTTGTTGGATAAAATTAGCGTGGTGAATGAGGAGAAGAACTAAAATAGAATCAATGTTGAGTTAGGGGAGACCGGCAGAAGGTATGGTCAGGCGAGTGAAGGGACGTACCCGATCGTAGTTCTTGTCGAGGTAATCGGCCACCATGGGCTTATGCCGCGTCAGCGTCTCTTTGAGGTTCGCGAAGGCGTCACATGAGATACCAAACGTTGTCGTCTCGATGTAGTGGGGGAATTTGTAGAACCTGGCATCATCAGGTCAGTCAACAATGTACGCAATTGGCAGGTCTACTCACTGGTCCGAATGCAGTAGTACCTTTGCCAACTGTTCATGCCGCAGCATCTCCTTCAGGATCATCCCCGTGTTCAACGCTATCTCCTCGTTCTCATAGCCCATGAGGGCCGCAAAGATCACCTCGTGCTTTGCGGATAGATATTCGACTGTCGGCCAGCGTGAGCCAATCTGCCGCCGCAGGAGGTTGTTGAAGATCTGCACCACGTCTTTCCGAGCCTCGAACTCGAACCGTGCGATGTGTACGACGAGATGATGTAGTAGGTCTGTTTGGTATGTCTCCTGGGCGAGCTGGGCTACCAGCTCCGGTGCGGGATCTATATGGTCATCAATACCTCGACCGTTTACTCGAACACTTAATGACGCACCGCCATCACCGTAGAGGAGGGACTTGATCTGCTGCAGATTCTTCGAGATGTCTTCGTTCGCCTGTGGCATTGGTCAACAAGCCATTCAACAGCAGGGAACGGCGACGCAGTCCTCCCAGGACAGATGTAATAGATTTCCTCCTACCTTTCTCCGAGTCTCACCCCCTGGTGCACTCGTCTCGAGCTTTGGGATGGCATCTCGCAGGCCACGGACGAGATCTGGCGGTGTACGAGGCTTGGTCTTGAAGAAATTCATGGTGGGCGCCAGAGTGGCGAGGGGGGGGGGGGGGGGGGTGGTGGAGATGGATGGCGTGAAGAAAGGGAGATGACGGAGTGTGAGTGCTCTAAACGGCGGTCCAGGTTGTAGTGGTATATTCAGAATCGATCGGCCTCCGCCGACCTCGGGCCCGTTTTGGTTGACTTTTGCGGGCCGCGATATCCGGTTGAATACTCTCAACCACATTCTGCTCCCACCAACTCTCAGTCAAGCTCCCACTGCGTCTCTCTTGGAACTTGTTTACCAAAGATCGACGGGATCTAGCCGCCCGTAACCCTGTAATCCTGGTTGCTGCCTTAAACATGTTGTACAAGCGCTTTATACGTGGGAGCGTCCTTAATTCTTCCAACCTGGGATGACAGAGCGTCTACGTACGCGAACATTCAACTACGTCAGAAGGGAATCGGCGAAAACGTCGAACAGGATTGATCTCTATCACAAGCACCGTCAAGAGGAGGAGCTGATTGGCTCGCTGGACCTGAACGCGTCGCCAAATATACCTTTGACCTCATCCACGGCAGATGACATGATACATCGAACGCGTCCTGAACGGAGCCCATATGGCTCATTATCATGCAGCATGATTTGACTTCGACCGTATCGACATGATGTCCTTCGATGTCACTCTAGTTGCGAGCCCTTGGCGGCTGTGGCATGTCAATCGCCATCCAACAATCTGGACAAAGGCAGCTCGTGGTTATCTATGGGGAGCTCTTTCAGTACTCAACAAGAGAGGGGAAGCTCAAGGAAGTATATCAAACAAAACAAATGGACGTCAAGTTTGCAAAGGACGGGACAAGGCTTGGCACGTGGAATCTGGTCTCCTCTTAACTTTATCTGCCTTCGCCATTAAAAACAACGAGCCGCAGTATTGATCCCCGGTGGTAAAAGGAACTTGGCCTAAGACATCCGTCTCCCAAATTCTAGGGCTTGACGTCGTCTGTATCCCAGTCAGTGAGTCTTTGGGCCCTGTGGACTTGTTACTGCTTATATCATGCCTAGGATGCTTGGAATGTCGGGGAGCCGCAACAAGAGAGATTCACTGTTCAGGCATTAATGGGGTAGTGGTAACCTGGGTCGTTGCCATGAATGAATGTGTCGTACTCACTAGGTACGCGTTTATCGACCCGCCGGGAGTTCGATTCTCTCTTAATGCAGGATCTTTTTTGTCTCTGCAACAATCTAAGTATGGGGGTTCTATAATTCAAGCAAAATTCGCTGGCAGGTCATGGGGATTTGGGATACTGCAATTTGGATAGTACAGACATATGAACATGCACTCTGTACATACTCGAGGCTTAAGATTCAAAATTCCAATGCCAGAATCTATGAAGTGCAGACCCATCAGTTCGGGGTAGACATCACACAGATGTATACTCACACCATGAATTCAGAGTAGCCACCTGTTAACATGTGGTTCTTGAAACCACTGCGACAGGGTTGGGGCACGAGCCAGGTAATGAGGTCAAAGTAGGACCGGTATTGGTGAAAGTGACTTGTCCATTCGAATTCTGAACGAGGTGACGGCGACATCATCAGCTCAGCGGCTCGCAAACGGAGCGCTGCAGCAATCCAGCGACAAGCGTTCAAGCGATCCAAGTACTCACGCGATATACACAGTAAGGGGAAAACCCAGAGATAGGCGGACTATCATAACTGATAAACGTACATGCATGAGCATCCTTCCGGAACATATACTCAAACTAGCTTTGTACTTGCTTGCATTGAACTGTACCAGCACTAGTGCTGTACCGTGTCAAGGTCAGCGTGCGTGTCAGCCCTCCATAGACGATCGTCGAGGGGCACGTGGCGCAGAACACAGCGGCAGCGCTTCCACTGAGCGATAAGACGGAGAGGGCAAGAGCTATGGTGGTAGCTGAGACGCGGAAGAGCATGGTATGAGCTAGGCAGGGGTAGCTTGGAGGATGGGGGATAGGGGACTCTGAAGAAGTTGATGAGTTTGCATCCAGCATACCCTTTTGTACGTATTTCAGAGAGCATCCGCGAGGAACCTTCAGGGACCGTTCCGCGATTCCGGCGGGTGATGTGCGGGAGTTCAACGCCGATGGTTGGAATCATGCATATGGGTACCGATGGGTGTTCAATGAGCGTTAGCACTGATATTGCATAGGAAATCGATACTGGTTCTCCATTGGTAGGACAGGGGCATATGTCGAACTGTCAAAGAGACTCCCCTGCCAGTGTCAATATTCAGGTACTCGAGAGAATATCGGATCAGACGGTCATGGAGAGCATGGTACATACCGTTAGAAGGGAGAAAGATTAGACTGGATAACAAGATGCTGAAGCAGGACGTTAAGACTTCCGGATTTACAAGCCGCCGAAGGGGTTTGGGGGCGTCTTCATCCCAGAAAGATTCCAGAACCTTGAGGAATGGCCGTAGTACTACCAGCCTCCAGGCTCCCATCGTCCACCGCGACTTGTATGATGCCATCATGCTGGTGCAGGTCAACAACGAACGCCCGGCTATGGCGTACACTCGATGCTCTCTTCTTGTTAGCTCACACTCAGGAACCATCGTCGGGAAAGATTTGACCGATCAGCACGACTATTATACGACATGCCTGAAATACACTTAGCTGAGAAAAATCGCGTCCTCTTGGGTAGCATTGATCTTCGGGTTTGTGACATATCGCAGAGATATGCTATGGTAGATAATATATCAGCCAACAGACAAGCCAGCTAGTGGTTGGAAACTTGACAAGCCTCGATTATCGACATAACCGGTACACACCTATTACATGAATCCGAGATGGGTGGGTTGCTGAAGCTTAGCTAGCCAGGGCGGCGCCGATAGATCAGCAGGACAAGGAGATCATGATCTCCCCTTGATCTCCCCCTCAATGTCTGCAGTGTGTCCTAGAATGAGAAGCAAGAGATCCGAAGGGCGGCCATAGTGCCTTAGAGCCAATCATGGACCAGTAGCCAGTTCTCCAAGCATGCTAGTGTCAATATGATCCCGTCGAACCACATGAATACGAGTTCGATGTGGGTTTAGTTGTGAGGAGGAGAGACTCCTAATTTGCCACTCATTCAACAGCGTTGCAGCGCTTGAGGTGACGGTTAGAGTAACGAAGAAGTTGAATAATTTCCTTGATAAACTGTTTCGGCCCGGTGACTCCGGCGCTTCTTGAACTCCT